AATTTATATTATAGAATATATTTATGAATTTTATTATAGATTCATTAGATTGAAAATATTTATGAATCCAATAAAAAAATAATTAGAAATATAATTCATATTGAAAAGATTCCTATATCAATTATCAAGAAATATGAGATTATATAATATTGAGAATTAAGAAAATATTGAGAAATGAAAATATATATTATTAATTATATAGAGAAAATTCATAAAAATCAAGATTTTGATTATGAAGAAGAAATCGAATTCTTTTAAATTCAATTTCCTATTAAAATGAAATTGAAAATAAAAAGAAGATTTTAAAATGAGAAGAACCTCAAGATTCTCAGAGACAGATTTATAGAGACCAGAAGACTTCAAATCTTTCAATTCTATAAGATTAGAAAGCCCAGGGCAGCAGATCTTGAATCGAAGAAGATCAATAAATAAAATAACAATCTAAATCCCATCTTTATAGATATAAATCATAAATAAGAGAATAAATTTATTGCCTACTAAATAGATCTAGATAAATCTCTAAAAATAGCATATTAAATAAAATTTATAAGTTTATCCTAATAATCTGAATAATATCTAAGAAGATAAATCTAATACCATAACTTTTATAATTCGAAAATCCATAATCTTAATATATTAAAATAATATTTTAAAATCAATAATAAAAATAAATCCTATTCGAAAAATCAGAATATCTTTAATAATATTATCCAATTTTTTTGCAGAAATATTTTCCTAATAAAAATTAAAATATTATATTATATATATTTTTATTATAAGATATTTAAAAAAGATCTAGAAATATAATTATAATTCATTCTAATTAGTATTATTATTTAAATTCTCAATTTTTTATATCAGAAATCATAAGATCAATATTATATATTCGATTTAAATATTTGAATGCATCCTATATTCTCTATATTTTTTTTATTCTTAGTAATCAATTCTAGAATATCCCAGGCCGTAATATCGCCCTCCCTTCCCATATTCAAATCCTTATCTCTAATCAAAATTTTATATATTTCTCCAATCAAAATAATTGATATAAATTAATAAGTGAATCTAGTATTCTTATATAAATATGATTATATTTTTCAATTTTTCTATTCGTATAAATATAATTCTTATTTCTTTTTTCAATTATATCAAGAAATTAAATATTGTATTATTCTTCAAAGCTTGATATTTCTTATATTTTAGAATTCTAGATAATTTATTAGAATGAGATATTCTCTCCTAATTTATGATTACCTTCGAACGCCAAAAATGATAATCATAAACCATATCTAATTCTAACGGACGCTTCAAGCACGAATTGTATTTTTGTCAGACCTGGGTCGATAGTATGTTTGGGTGACCGTCTACTCCACACCGCTCTTCTCTGCCAAATCTAATACCGTCTGCAATCGTTCAATCAGTTCCTTCCGGTACTTGGGCAGCTTGTCAGTCTTGACGGCGCCCTCGAAGCTGTTGATGGTTTCCTCCATTTCGAAATGGACCTGGTTCTTCCTCAGAGGAGCATCGCGCGATAAAGAATCCTCCGAGATGTAGGTCTCTCCATAGACTTGCACAAGCCTCCCTGCTTTTTGCTCCAGGCTTGACAGCTTGGCCTCCTGCTCTGGGCCGATGAAAGAGTCGCCCACTGCCTCCTCGGCCTCCAAGGCTTCCTTCAGCGCTTTGGCCGCCGCGGTGACAGACTCGCTGAAGGCTTTGGGGAGCGGCTCTCGGACCAAGCGGATAACGTCAGCCCTGCTCTCAGCGGGAAGGAGGACAGGCGCGGCTGCAGCGACGGCAAGCTGCAGCGCCGATCTGCGGTTAGCCGTTTGGTCAACTGCACCGAAAGTGCCACAACGAAACGCAGATTCGGATAGATTCGCAGGCCACGAGGCCAAGACTGCGCAGCCAAGCCCAAGAAGCATGAGCCACGGCTTCTGCCGCCTCGCCTGTGGGTGCCCAGCCATCACCATGGCAGGCATCGGACCTTCAGCAGCAACCGTGCTCCGCGTAGGCAGGCTGCTTCAAGCACTACAACGAAGCCGATACACGGCGTTGCCTGCCTGAAATACACCTGATGTGTGTGGACTACAGCATGACCATCCACGATCCTGCTGCTTGATCCCGACATCGGCTTAGGGGAGAAATGTTAATCGGCACTTGGCTACTTAGCAGAACTCGTTGAAAGCATAATCAGCCAATCCTTGAGCCGATGGGCTTGCGTTGAAGGATGTCCGCAAGCATCGCCCTCGCGACATGTTCAACCCCCCTCCCCTCCAAGACCACGAATACCACTGACTACTGCAAACATCGAACCGGAAAATGCCCCGCACGGCCTCGCGCCACAGGGCATGCTCGTGCTACACGCTTTTGTTGACGCGTCCGTGTCCGCGCTGCAGCAAGCGCCGGTGTCAGCTCATGTGACTGGGCTCTCGGCTCAGACGCTGGTGAGCATGTCCATGGCCTCCTGCAAGTCCTTAAGCTCTTGCTCCCTTTGTGCTTTGCGCTCGGCATAAGAGGCACCGGTGTCGATGCAATCGGGCTTCAGCTTCTCGAAGTAGTCCTTGGCAGCATTCAGCTCCTTCTGAGTTCCCTGGAGGTCCGCTTGGAGCATCGTGAGCTCTTGGCTCTTGGCCTGCTTTTTGCTGGACTTGTGCTCTTTGGTCTTTGTCTTTGTTGCCTTGTCCAGCTTGGAATCCTCCATAAACTCTTCGTACTCCTTCTTGCCGGCCTCTTCGGCGGACTCTGTCTCAGCCTGGAGGCGAGAGAAATCAGCCTCGATAACCTCGAGCATGGACATTACACCGCCACCCTCAGCGCCCATGCCCTTGTAAGGCTCATCGCTGAAGACCTCGGGCTTGGAGGCGTCCATGACAGAAGACGTCTCGACCAAAGAAGTTGCCTCACCGGCTTTGGCATAGAAGTCCTTCAGAACAGTGAGGGCCTCCGCGACCGCCGTCTGAGCCTCCTTGGCGTCCTTGATGGTCGCTACGTTCTTCGCTTCCTCACTCTTTCGGAGCTCCGTGGCGCTTTGCATGGCACCGCTGAGCTCTGCGAGCTCCGCATCTAAGGTTGTCAGCTCTTCCGCCAAACCAGCAATCGAGGCGGAGGTCTCATCGATCTCAGACTGCAGTGCATCGCTGGCATCGGACTTCTCCTCTCGGGTGGCTTTGTTGCTAGCCATCTCTGCATCGCACCAGCCCTTCTTCGTGGCCTCTTCGTTTGCCTGGCTCTGCAGCTTGGCCAGCAAGTCCTCGATCATGGTCCTCACCTTCGCGATAGGGTCCGCACCCACACGGGAGGCAACCGAGGACAAGACACGGCTGTTGAGCTGCGAGGCGCGGCGCTGCAAGAACTTGGCCACCTGCTCCTGCTTCGGGGAGTGGTGCTCCGACCGAAGGAAGGCCAAGGCAGTCGACTGTGCCGCCTGCACCGCCTGCACCAGGCTCGGCAAGTGCTTTTCGGCGCTTCCCGCAACAGCGCCACTGGCGATGATCTCCTTGGCCTTGCCGATGGCATCGATCTCTTCCTGACGGAGCTGCTGACGCTCCTTGTAGGCCTTGGACTTCTTGTCGCAGGTAGCCTGCAGGTCTGCGGAGTACTTCACATCCGATGCCTTCGCAGTCTTGGTCTCTTCAAGGTCTCCTTCTGAGCTAGCTTTGTTCTGCATCCTTTTGGCCTTGAACTGTGTCTTGTCTTCCTGCTCCTTCTTGGACTGAGTCAACTTGGCTTCCAAGCTCTGCGAAAGCTTCTCGAAAGCATGTCGCTTCGTCGCCTCCTCCTTTTCGAGGCTCACACGCTCATCCACGAACTTCTCTTCCAGGCTCTCAAGCATGCTGATCACGCCGCCAGACTGGAATTCATAAGTCTTGGGCTCTTCGGCTGCCGAAGTGCCAGCCTTGACCTGCTGCATCACCAAGCTGGACTTGGCGCCATCGGGGCCATGGTGGCTCAGGTACTCGTCAATGCTGTCGGCAGCAGCGCTGGGGAGCAGCCTTTGACATTCACTCACGAGATTCACCCTCGTTTCTTAGGAGCTTTTCAGATCAACCTTGGAGTCTGGCATGCGCTTACACTTCCTCACATCGGCCAGCAGTCTCCATGCTGGAACCAGACGGTTGACCCTAGCCAAAGCCAGCGACCAGGTCCCAAATGGTCCTATCAGAACCGGCGGTCTCGGCATAACATGCCATCGGTTTGCCTGTTTGCCCTTCGCACGGCACGTTGTCACTTGCAAGTTTTGGAGCCTGACAATGAGCTTTGCAATTGACTTTGGACTGGTTCGTAGAACAGTGAACCTGCCCTTCCCACGAACAAGAGACTCACACATGCATGGCTGCTGTTGCGGACTAGCGGCTTCATGCTCCGGGCGCGAGAGAGCTGGACGAGAGCCGTCTTCTGATCCTGGTGCCCAGGGGTCCCAACATGTCCCAACACTCACCAGACCGTTTGGGTGATGGCGGGCTCTAGACCGACTGTCTAGAATCTAAACCCTTCCCTGGCCAGGGCCTCCGCCTTCAAGCCCTTCACGGCCCTGCGAATGGCATCGATGGATTCCGTGTAGTCCTGGCATTGTGGGGAACAGGCTGTGGGGACAAGGGACGAAAGCCTCGCAAGGGCTCAAGACAAGTCTCCTTCAGGGCCGCCCGAAAGTCCGTGCGCTCCTTCTCACGGATGGCAGTGGCATTGCTCTTCTCGCCGCTGGTGGTCTCGATGTCGGCCACGTGGCCGGCTATCTCAGTGCTGAGACGATCTGCATCGGCTGCTGCCGACTCGATGTCAGCTTCCAGGGTCTCCAGCTTGTCGCTGGCGTCATCGATGGATTTTTTCTTCTCGGCCAGGGTCATCTCACAGAACTGCGAGAACTCCGTGTACTGAACCTGCTCCGCCTCCATCTCTTTCACCCCCTTCTCTTTCATGTTTTCGAGCATCTGAACGACTTTCTGGACAGGTGTGACATCAGACCTCAGTATGGGCCGTGTTTCTGGCGTGCAAGCATCCTCTGATGCGAACAACAACCGGCACAAGGCTCCGGCGCCAACACGGCCGAGACCACAGCTGCCAGCAACAAGCTGCACTTCATTGCGCGAAAGCTGGTTCGGGAAGGGCTACAACACACTAAAGGTCGTACCTCCAGTCCGAACCCACTGGCAGCGTTACCCGAAACATCTCAAGTCTCAATCGCTGACATGCGATGAAAAGTCCGATGAGTGAGTGCCGATACAGACTTTTCTCCGGGAGCCGAGTCTCAGCCTCAGCAAGCCCTGGCTTGTCAGTCTCCTGCCATGTCAGGACTTACGGTTGCGTCTCGCAGGGACAGCGGAGGACGTGGCTTTGAGCCTCGATGTCGTCAGCACTTGCAGAGCTGCTCTCCTCCCCTTCCGACGGCTCCTCTTGCTGCTCCTCAAGCCGCAGCAAATTGCAGCTAGAGGCTGTGATACCAAAGCGCGGAGAGTGTGAGGTGAGGCTGAGGCTGATGTGAGGCGAGGCTGAGTCGCGAGGAGAGAGAGAGTGAGAGAGAGAGAGTGAGGGTGACGGCAAGCGTGGCAACATACCTGAGCCCTTTTTCCCCAGGCTTGTTGGAGCTCCCCCCGGCCATGTCCCCCGCAGCACACCGCACTCGTGGCGAACTGCGCAAGGTTGTTATGCACGATCTTTATCATCTTTAACATCTCACGAGCTTGTCTGTCGGATACCTGAACCCAAACCTGAAACCCTAAACCACAACCCTGAACTCAACGTCTCAATCTACTAGTAGACTCGCACTCGCGCAGACGTCCCAAAACCGGCCAAGCCTCGACAAACTCTTCCTTGACGCGCCCTGCTTGCCTGACAGAGGAGCAATGCATGTGGTGAGTTTCCTTTCTCAGAAAGGGCTTGGCCAAAACAACGCATGTTGAAGGCTACCCTAAACCGTAAACGGCCACAGACCCCAAACTCTACGGGCGCCTTAGAGCCTGCAGCAACGTTGCAGCTCGCGCGGCCGGGTCTGGCCCCAGCTTTCCTGATCTGGTGCTTCGAGCGTTCGTCACTTAGGTGATGCTTTTAAGTCTTCCTGTCATGACTGCTTAGACCCGAGGCTTCAGAACGTCTCGACCATATGCATGGATGATTGAAGCTAGCCCGCAATCAGCTGAGAATCAGCTATATAGAGAGTCTAGCCATCATCAGGCGTGAACCCATATCATGTCGGAGTGAGGTCAACACCTCGCCGAACTTGTAGTGCTGTCCAAGAATCCAACGGCGCGATGTAGGATCACAGAGCGTAGAGGTAGGGGCTGAGTGGCAGGGCCTCGGCAGGCGTGCACTGTATGATGTCAAACGAAGCAGCTCGCAAGCAAGCAAAACATGTTCCAAAGCCTGGATAATGAAGGCTACATCAGAGACAAAGAAGGAGCAGGTTCTGAGCTGTGAGTTCTTCAAGATCTGTTCTCAAGGATTTGCTGGAGCGCCTTGGGATCCCTCACTTGCTTGCCTTCTTATCTGGAGGTTTCCCAGCTGTACTCTCCAACATGGAGATATTGTTACAGTGCCTGCGAGGTCTGCTCAGTGACGGGGCCAATTCATGGACGGGACGCGCACATGTCTAGATTTAGTGTCTGCTACGTCGGCGTTGTAGGCGGTGGGCAAAATCCAAGATTTGGGTTGCGCAAACTGTATACATGTGCGGATAAGTGTACGTACGTGAATACGTACACGTGTCTATATTATATGTATACAATATGTTATACGTCTGTTGGTGCACGTGTTTGCACATCCCAATCTACTGTAGCTTAACTTAAGTAATCCGATCAGCTCTTGGCGCAAGGAGGTCTTGGCACTCCAGCTGCCCATTACAGGAATGTCTTAGTCTTAGCACTCTAGGTCTTCATTACAGAAAGGCCTTAATTATAGCATTTCACGAAGGCAATGATCAGGACTCACTTCGCTCCTTTATTCGTGTTGCCATCCCCGAGAAGAGTGAAAAATGCAGCATGTACGTAATCCGTCTCCCAAATACTATGTGTCGGCACTAGTCTGCATGTCCTGAACGGCATGGGCTGCCTCCTGCCCTAAACAGACAAACCACGGCAGAGCGATTGGCTTCTTTTTGCAAGACGAGGCATGCCGTCTTGAAGATGCCCCCGGTACGCTTGAGCGGGGCAGTCACAAACCCGAAAGAGAGCTGAATGGGCTCCTCTGCACTTTGGGGTCTCAGGTTACGCCCTGTTACGCCACTTTGGCACATCGCGAAAGGCTTGACCCGGTGGCGGCCGGAATCTCGGAAGCGGGCACAAGCGGGAGAGGGCAAGGACCGCGTGCTCCGCATCCTTGTCGCTCCCGGCCTCACCAGGCAACTTCGCTTCTCTCTCTAGGGCTCTAGGGCCCCAAGCAGACTTGACTGGAAAGAAAGAGCCGAAGAACCAGGCTGCGGCCTTGAAGAAGAAGGATCGCTGGGCAGTCCAGAGTGAGAAACAGCGCCAGCCAGCTTCCTGCAGCGTATGTACGTCATGCGCCTGCCACTGAGTTTTTTTCAGGTGCCCGCGAAATCCTTGTGTCGCAGTTTGTCGGGCAGGGAGTCCGCACCCAAACCAACATTGGTCACCTGAAGCCGGGCTAGATGACTTGGGTTTCACGAGTTACGTACACGCGCCCTATATGACTGACTGACTGCCCGACCGACGGACCCCTGAATGAATGACTGGCTGGCTGACTGACTGACTGACTGCGGAAATGACTGAGTGAATGACTGACTGACTGACTGACCAACTAACTGACGGCTTGAAAGATGAGTCCACCAATCGATCGAACAATCAAGATAAGCTTGAGTCGATGATTGACTGGCAGGTTGGCTGATTGCTTTGTGCCCATTGATGACCCGAGCCAAATCGAGCCAATCATGAGCTGCGCGCGACCACGGGACTCAGGCAGAGATGAAGCTCTAGGAGGCTGAGGAACTTCAGAGTTCTCGCGGGTTGTCCTCTTTCGTGTGCCTTGTTCGAGGATCGCCGAGGCTGGTGTCTTGCCCTCTTGGTTCTTGCTTTCTTCGGGCGTCTTGCTATGCAGAGTCATGCGGGAAGATCGCCCATGCTTCTACGATGCGCGCAGGTCCAAGCATCAGCTCGCGCCTCCTTCAAGTCAAGGCTTGTGAGCCGGCGGCCAAAGACCCTGCGACCTGGCATCTAGACCAAGCTTAGGCCTATCTCTTGGGCACAACATCTCAAGCTTACTCTTTGCTCTGAACCCGAAACCCTAAACCCCATAACCCGAAACCCTAAACCCTATAACCCTAACCCTATAACCCTAAACCCTAAACCCTAAACCCTGGATTTGGGCACCTAGGTCTTTCGACCACATCAGCTTCTGCGGGCCCTTAGGTGGCGCCTGAGCAGGACATATCGCCCCCCGGCCCGGGGGAAACCACGGCAGCTCCTGGTCTTCTCTGCTCTTCCGGGGTGGAGGCTGGCGAAAGCTGCATGAGTCTCGGCTGCCACTGCGAAGTCCCAGCCTGCAGTCTCGGGGATTCGCGCACGGGCATGAGAAGCCCGTAGAATTGTCCACCCCCCCGGAAGTTCGATTCCTGCTTTCCTCCCTCCAGGTCACTTCGTGTAAGATTTTGCTCCGAAAGTATCCACCCGGTCACAAACATACCACGCGAACAAAAGCTCCCGTGCTCCTCAGTCTGTTGTGCAAGCGGAGCTGAAAAGCAGAGCACATGGGTCTCATATGAAGGAAACCTGACAACTACCGAGGATGGGACGCAGAGCTTGCTGACAACCATGCCTTTGGAGAGAGAGCTGATGGCGGAGGCCTCACATGGTCCGTGTTGCAACTCTCAGTGCTGTCCTGCTGCCTGGGGCTGTGCTGCCTTCCGCGGTGCAACTCTACAGTGCCTGAGCCTAGGCTGGGTCTCTGAGAAGGCGGCTGCCGCGCGCCCTTGTGGCAACGTGGCTTCTTCCATACCTACGATCACAGGTAAGCGATGTCTGGGATGGCACCATCAACGCAAAAGATCTGCCCCGGGAGTTCATTTCGGTCTTGCTGCGGCTGAGGTGCGCCGTTGTTTTCTCTGCTGTGCGCGGGACCTCTTCTCCTGCGACTCTGCGGTGGTAGGCAGCCAGCACTTCAAGCGCAGGCACAGCTTGGACCCTGACCTCAATCAACTGATCCTGCCGAAGAGGACCTCAATTCGACAAGGACGCTCGGCGATCGTGAGAGCAGGCGAAACAACGGGACTCCGACTCGCTGGGTCCCGCTGGCCCATGGAAGCCTCAGCCTGTCCGGGAATCAGAGAGGCGTACGAACGGAGCTAGAGTGGCGCATGTTCACAAGCCACCGGATCAGGCACTGTGCGCTCCGTTTCAGAAGATTTACTAAAGGACATGGTGGGGCTATAATCTTGGTGCATCAGGAAATTTACTCAGTGACCTACTGGAATTTCAATTCTTTCTGTTTCGGGAGAGTTGCAGAAAAGGTATGATGGGCATCAATCTTTGTGTTTCGGGAATCGGAAAACGACCTATGGACTTTTGCTGCAGGAGATTTACGAGAAGACACAGCAATTTCACGAAATCTCCAGGTTGCTCATGGCCTTGCTGTGAGTTCCAAGCTTCAGAAACTTGCTCTACAGCAGCCTTGTTCTGTCGGTGCACAGAACGTGCGCGGGAGACAGAGATTGTGCAATCCTGCCTTGGGCGACGAGTCTCCCCGCACTGGCTCATCCTCGAGAGCGCCAGGGTCTTGGTTCTGCTCCATTTCAGAGTGGGTCAGCTTCGCAGACAGCCTGGCAGGCATGCGATGGCTTAGACTTTCAAGCAGTCCAGAGTCGTCAGTAGGAGAATCTGGCGCAGCAGTTCATCCGAGACTTTGTCCGTGCCCAAGGAGCTACTATCAGTGCCAGACTTGCTACCATCGGTGCAAGATTGAATTGTCCAGGTTGCTGGCAACCCGAAAATCAGTTATCAACCCTCATCTGTTGCAGTAAACCCGACCCTTGGCGTGGCATCAAGCAGGTCCGGAAGGCTCGTTTGCCCTCGATTCGGCGTCTTGCAAGTCGGTGACGGTCCTTGCGGCCCATTACCCCGCAAACGCAGACGCACTGGTAGCAACTCACCGTGGCCGTCACTCCCTACAGACACGCTCCTGGCGAGTTGAAGCCGGACTTCACCCAGCTCCGATTCCTTTTGTGTTCGCTGGCGTCGCTCGCTTTGGAGCTCCTTCAAGCACCAGAGGATTTAGGGCTAGGTTTTATAATATCTTGTATTCTAATATAAACCAACATTGTATTATAGTACACGATATACTGGTACATTATATTATTGTACAGCTTAACATATTACCTTATAATGTGATACAATAAAATACATTGCATTATAGTGTACTACATGAATTGTATTACAATATATTCTATTACAATATATTATCTTACAACATATTTAGTATGTTAAGTTTTTTTCAAATTTATTATATCACAATATAGTTTATTACAGTGTATTACATTCAGTATGATACAGAATCATATTTTATGCTACAATATGTAAACCTATTATAGTACCATATGTTGTGTTACATTATATTGTATTACCACAAACTATATTTCCATATGTTCTATCACATCACAGTATATTGAATGATAAATTTACTGCCTGACATGATATTACATTGTATTACATCATGTTGCATTATATTCTATTATTACAATATATCACACTATATTACGATATGTATATATATATAAATATATACATATATATCTATATATGTATATGTTACAAATACTTATACCATCTGATACTTGTACTATCTTATATCATGTTAGAACAAAATATTTTGTCTTATATCAAAAAACACAACGTTACGTTATGTTACATAACAAAATACAATAACATATAATATGATTTCAGATCATATCATATCATACACATAATCACGTAAGCTACCATGTATACATACACATATATATATATATACACACGTAGTATCAGGCTTTCCAGTTATTCCGACCCCAAACACAGAACACGCTATGTCAGGGTAGGAAAGAAAGGTAAAGGACAGGAGGGAACCCTCAACAGGAGCCCCGACCCACGAAAGAGCAAGTTGACTCCCGCTCCTTTTCATCTTGAGCCAAATAGTCATGGCAAGTTGCATTGTCAGATAACTTTACATCGAAGATCATCGTTATTTTACAACTCCCCCCTTCTGACATGAAACTATACATGACATGCAACGTCACATGGGTTGATCAAGCCCACGGATGATTAATTATGAACTTGAAGGAAAGCAACAACTTTACCTGTCGTTGATTCCCAGAACAAATCCTCAGGAAATGTTCGTTGGCATGGTGCTCTGCACGCATACGCAAAGGTTTCAGTTCGGCATGATTACCATCCCCGTAGCGCAAGGCATCTAAACAGGGGAGGCAATACAGACATAAAAGGTATGCAATGCCTTGGATGGATGCTCAGCAGCCTGAACGGAATACTTAGTAATCCGGGAGTTGCTCTGTAACGATACTTAGTAACGAAAGAGCGTGCGCCCACTTTTGAAGAGCTAAAGCTTTCGTGAGTGGATCGCCGCGCTGAGCACTTGTCTCACAGTACTCAAGCGTGANNGCATGTTGACGCCACATTGATGCGGTGGGTTTTAGCAAGGTGACGTAATTTGCTGCTATATCCTTTGCGGACAATAGCGATGCACGCCTGGTTGTCTTCGTAAATCTTCAACATCACACCAGGGAGCAAGCTTTCCCACACATCAAGCATAGGTAAAGTATCACCAAAGAGCACGCCGCTCAGCGACACAAACTCCGCTTCGGTAGAGCTGCGAGACACAACTTGCTGACGACGACTGGACCAAGAAAGCAAAGCAAAGCTCCTTGGTCCTTCCAAGGCAACGACGTATCCGTTGGTGGAACGGGACGCGTCGATGCAACCAGCAAAGTCTGAATCGCAATAGAGGGCTAACCTCAACGCTGATGGAGGATCGTTGATCGTCATGACCAGCGCAAAGTCAACAGAGTGAAGGATACCCTACAAGCCTATGGGTACGCCGATCGTCGTTCCTACTCCAGGCACAAACGTGGGACGCCAGGGTAGTAACTGCCACCAGCAAGTCGGGGCGGCATAGCCTCGCCAGCCACAAGATTTTCATCAAAATCCTTGCGGCCGATTCCGAGAGCTGTCTGCGGGACTCGTCGTCTGATGCTGGGAGTGTGGCAACATCTAAGTGGGGTGTAAACTGGGGCTTTACGGCCAGGGCAGACACCGTTTCATATAGTTGGACACACTGTCGCGCAAAATCGGCGGATTCAAGCGCTAGTGACCTCTTCTCCTGCCATAGAACGAAGCGGTGACAGCGTCCTAGGACGCGAGTCAACGCTGCGTACGGCTCGAGCTCGACCTCTTTGGAAAGAGAAGCCCAGAAGCTCTCATGCAGGTCAAGCTTCCCTGACAAGGTGAGATCATCAACGTAGACGCATAGAACTAAACCCAACGACTTGAAGTAGTAAACGGAAGGCAAGTTTTCAAACTCGACACCACCGAGCTTCACAAGGATTGCATGGAGATGCTGCTGCCAGTAGGCAGAAGACTCTGGATGCCCATATAGAGCTTTGTGAAGCAGGGCACACGGTTGGAAAATGTGCTTCTTGTCTGGTGGAACAAGCTCTGGAGGTAACAAGACATACGTACGATGCTTGGTCTTCAAACGGGCTTGAGTGTAAGCTCT